ATATATATATATATATATAAATTGTGATTTGATTGAGAGTTTACAGAGAAAATTCACTTTCTATTCAATAGCTCATATACATTTTGGTTCATAACAATACCCATAATATAACTGCTCTTGTTCCATATAATTTTTATGTTTTTGTTTGTGTTAGGTGCCATCAAGTCATTTCCAACTCATAGTGATTCTATGTATAATGGAAGGAAACATTGTCCACTCCTACACCTTCCTTACAGTCCTTGCTATGCTTGAGTCCATCATTGTATCCACAATGTCAATCTGTCTTGTTGAGGGTCTTCCCTTTTTGCATTGACCCTCTACTTTACCAAGCATGATATCCATCTCTGAGGACTGTTTCTTTCTGACAACATGACAAAAGTATATGAGATGAAGTGTGGCTATTCTTGCTTCTAAGGAGGATTCTGGTTGTACTTCTTCCAAGGCAGATGTGTTCATTCCTCTGGCAGTCCATGGTATTTCCAGTACTCTTTGTCAAAACCACAATTCATAAGCATCAATTCTTGGTTTTCCTTAGTCTTTGTCCAGGTGTGACATGCATGTGAAGCTATTGAATATACCACACTTGGTATTTTCTACTTTAATTATTTATATAGATATGAGGAAATAATTAGAGTACTTAATTTATTTTAAATACTCTTTGTAGTATTTTAAATACAATCAGTGGTTATTTTCAAGATTATGGGACTAATCCCAGCCATACCTATATTCATTTTGCCAAACTTACATTATAGTGAGTTAATATTGCAAACTCATTTGAATTTAAATAGGGGAAGATATCTAAATTATTTGCATTTACTCAATAAATCTTTATTGAGCTCCAGTGAAAGACTATTCCCTACATCAATGAACCACACAGAAAAAAGTCCCTACCTCACAACTTATTCTATGACAGGAGGCAGAAATAGCATAATGAGTAACTAAATCATATAGTAGGTCAGAAGGTGGTGAGTCTGTGGAAAAATGAAGACTAGGTAGGAAAGGATATAAAAGCCAGGGTGGAGATAGCTATTTTAAGAAATGGAGGCAGACTTCAGATAACTCTAAATTTGAATGATCTCTTTATTGATTATCACTAAATAGAATCATTTTCACTTGGTACACAAAGTCAACAAAATCCAAACCACCAAGTAAATTGAATGTGATCCTCTTCTGAAAGCTACTTTTCACTATCAGATATCTCAGACTTCTATTCACCCTGCAGAATGATCCTGTGCCAGTGTCACTATCTTTGCTATACCTGAGCCCATCGTTGCAGCCACTGTGTCAATCCATCTCATTGAGGGCCTTCTTCTTTTTTGTTGACCTTTCACTTTACAAGCATGATATCCTTCTCCAGGGGAAAAGTCACTTCCGACAACATGACCGAAGTAGGTGAGAAGTCTGGCCATTCTCGCTTCCAAGGAGCATTCTGGCTGCACTTTTTCCAGGAATGATTTATTAGTTCTTTTGGCAATCCAAGGTACTTTCAGTATTCTTTGCCAACACCACAACTCAAAACAATCAACTTTTCTTCGGGCTTCCTTACTCATTGTCCAGCTCTCACATGTGTATGGTTTGGGATAGATGCACCTAAGTCTTCAAAGAGACATCTTTGTTCTAAGCACTTTAAAGAGGTCCTTTGCAGCAGATTTTCCCAGTGCAATACATCATCTGATGTCTTGACTACTGCTTTCATTGGTGTTGACTGTGGAATCAAGTAATATGAAATCTTTGACAACTTTAATCTCTTCTCCATTTATCATGATGTTGCTTATTCATCCAGTTGTGAGGATTTTCATTTTCTTTATGTTGATATATAATCCATACTGTGGACTATAGTCTTCAATATTCATCATCAAGTGCTTCAAGTCATCCTCACTTTCAGCAAGCATAGTTGTGTCATCTGCATGTGGTAGGTTCTTAATGAGTCTTCTTTCAATCCCGATGCCATGCTCTTTCTTCTTCATATATTCCAGCTTTTCAGATGATTTGCTCAGCATACAGATTGAATAAGTATGGAGAAAGTATACAGCCCTGATGCACTCCATTACTGATTTTAAACAATGTAGTATCTCCTTGTTCTGTTTGAATGACAGCCTCCTGGTCTATGTACAGGTTCCTAATGAGCACAATTATGTGCTCTGGAATTCCCACTTTTCTCAAAGTTATCCATAATTTGCTATGATCATCATAATTGAGTGCTTTTGCATAGTTAATAAAACACAAGTAAACATCTTTCTGGTATTCTTTGCTTTCTGCCAGGATCCTTCTGACATCAGCAATGTTAGCTCTCATTCCACGTTCTCTTCTGAATCCAGCTTGCATCTCTGGAAGTTCCCTTCCTTTCCCACAAATGACTGATGTGGTGGTCACATGACTGAAAAGAATCAACCTGTCTTGGTTCTTTAGTGCTGCTACAATAGAGATACCACAAGTGGACAACTTTATCAAACACAAATTTGTTCTCATACAGTTTAGGAAGCTAGAATTTTGAGTTCAAAGTGCCAGCTCTAGAAGCTGGGTGAAGGCCTTTGGGCTACAATTTTGCCTCTTATTCCAGGCTTATTGGATTTGGAGGCTTCTCTTAAGTCATGAAACTGCAGGCTGCTGTGGCTGAGGAACCCAGAGTCATCAAGGAGAATGGCACAATCCCAAGATCAACAGACACACTGCGGGCCACTTGTTCAAGTCCAGGAACAATCCCACAAATGGCAGGCAACATGGCTGGCCGCTAGCTCAAGTCTAGGAACTAGAGTTGAAGACTCACCAAATGCAAGATCCAAATGTGCCAAAGAGCTAGAGATCTTTCTCAAAGCTTTTCTTTATATACTGAAAGCAGGCCACACCCAGAAGGCAACTACTTAGCTACTCAGAGGAAATTTCCCCCTGGAGGTGATTACAATTGCATCATGGGGAATAACTACATCCAGCTATCCAACCACTCAAAATCATGGCCCAGCAAACTTGACACACAACCTTAACTACCACACCATTTGTAGGCAGAAAATAGCTAATCAGATTTTACCTCCCAAGAAATTCATCAAGTGATTCAGGTCTGTAGAAAATAGTGATAGGCTCATGATAAATGATGGAGTTATTTGTTCCAGAAACATTTATAGTTGACTTTTTGAGAAGGCTTCGATCTCTGCCCATTCTGATTCCTGATTGCTTTTCCACCAGATTGGCTGACCTCTGAATGCCTTCCAGTTGATGTCAACTCATGGTAATCCTATGGGACAGAGTAGAAGTACTCTATGGGATTTCTAAGGCTGTAATCTTTAGGAAAGTAGACTGCCAAATCTTCTCCCTAAACAAAGCGGCTGGTGAGTTCCACCCACTACCCATTTGTTACCAGATGAGCAATTAAACAGAATGCCACCAGGATTCCTAACTGGAATCAGTGTCCTAAAACTAAACTTGTATTCCATTAAAATAGTGTCAGTAACAGCCTAATCCTAATCTGAGACATGTTTTTATCTTCCCTCCATGAAGTTTTTTTCCCTCCATGGTGTGAGTAGCAAGCTGTTTAATATACAATCTATTCTTCTATTTAATTTATTCCTTTTCATATTATATTGTAAGTAAAAATAAAATTCAATGCTCTTTAATTTATATATAAGGGTAATTAGTTGCTGTCTCTAACATGCTGAGTGATCTGAGGGTGAAAATGTGGAAATACCATTTTGTGACCCCTACATTAGTTTGTTTGTTTGTTTGTTTGTTTCTGTTGCATTATGTTACTTCTGTCTTACAAAGCCCTTCCCCTAGAACATTCTCTTCTAAGCTCATTTTGATTTCTTTCCTATTGAAGATATTTTTCTTTATTTTACTGTTTTATTTTTCATGAGAAAACATCATCAATCTGGTCCACAACTTCCTCATGACATTTTTCACTTCCTTATTCCTGAAAGGATTGAGCAGGGGAGTTAGGATGGTGTACAAAATGGTAACCATCTTGTCAAAGGAGAAAGCAGAGAAAGGTCTTGCATATTCAAATATACATGGAACAAATAACAAAACCACAACAGCAATGTGAGATCCACAGGTGGAGAGAGCTTTGTGAAGACCCTCAGAGCTATGAGATCTCAGTGAGTACAAGATGACACAATAGGAGATAAGCAACAAGGAGAAATTTATGATGCAGATGAACCCACTATTGGCAACCACAAAAAGGCTAAAGATATGAGTGTCAGTGCAGGCAAGCCCCAATAATGGGTATAAATCACACATGAAATGATCGATGACATTGGGGCCACAGAAGGGCAGGTGGAAAGTAAAGAGAATTTGTATCACAGAATGAAAGAAGCCACCTGTCCAGGATACCCCCATCAGAACACCACAAAGCCTCCAGTTCATGATAGAGTGGTACTGCAAGAGCTTGCAAATAGCCACATAGCGGTCATAAGCCATGGTGGTAAGAAGAATCATCTCCACTCCAGCAAAGAAGTGTTCAGCAAAGAGTTGGGTCATGCAGCCCTCAAAGGAAATGGCTTTCCTCTCAGAGATGGAGTCCACAATCATCTTTGGGGCAATGGAAGAGGAGAAACAAGCATCCAGGAAGGACAAGAAAGCGAGAAAAAAGTACATGGGGGAGCCCATGAGTGCTGGGGTGTAGGTGATGGTCACAAGAACTAGTAAATTGCCCCCAACAGTTGCAAGGTAGCCAAGCAAAAATAGAGTAAATATTATTTTCTGAACATTTGGATTCTGTGAAAGACCCAAGAGGATGAACTCAGTTACAACCCTTTGGTTTTGCATAATTTCAGAGGAAAACATGAAAGCTACCAGAGTGATCATGGAGAATCTGAAATTATGAGAAAGAGATATTGGCCTCAGGCAGTTTATGGTACTGACACAGTCATCAGCAGGTTAGTGCATCCATAAGCAAAGGTATCTTAAGTCTTTATTTTATTGTTGAGAACACAAAATTGGAGATTTGTTGAAGGAAGTCATGAGATAACCTCCAGAATTGAAGTTAAATACTTTAAATAGAGTTTTAATATGGTGGAAGGAAAACATTCACATCTGGTAAGGAAGACAAATAGGTTTTCTCTTAGATGTCAACTCTGACTTATTAGTAGTGGCTACCTAAAGTGAATTATTGAGGATTCTGAAGCATATCAAAGCAATGGTGAAGAGACGACTAGAATGTATGTATCATGCCTGCCACTGGCACGGCATTGGAACTAGAATGACTTGCATAGGAAATGCATCTTTCATCAAGAGACTGTCTTATCTACAAATAGAGTTTAACAGGCACTTGGAAATGATACCTACTTCCCCAAATACTTCTTTAAATGCTTGAGTTGAACTGAGACCAGGCAATCTACTTCCATAGTGATACTGCCTCAGAAACCCAAGGAGGTATCGCTATGAGTCAGATCTGACTCAACAGTAGTGAGTTTGGTTTTTGGTTTTATGAAAAATAAAAGCCTATGGAAAGTGTATACATCTATGCATAGCAAATAATGAGTATACATTAAGTGCTAGTAGCTTTTTTTTTTTAAATTATTCATCATTTTCAAATGAAAACAGAAGTGGATAAAATAATAATACCTATTTTAGAATGTGGTGTTAATAACTAAGTGAAATAATGCAACAAATGCTCAGTGTCCAGAGTCCAGGCTACGGCCATGCTGGTCTTACTACTACTTTTTTACTGGTAGGAAACTCATGCTTGGAGAAGTTGAGCTCAAAAAATTGACAAAAAAGTGGATATGGGGTTTCTGGCTCCAAAACTCAAGCCCATTCCACTGAATCAATAACAAAAGCAATGAGAATATTTCTTTTCTAGGGAGAACCTCAGATCAAGGATGGGATTTCTATAGTCTTCAGCCAATTGTCAAGGTGAAAACCTTCTAATTCCTGTCTTCATGTATAAATGAAACACTTCAGGGAAAAACTATAAATGTTATAGTCAGAAGACATTGGCCCCACCATATACATACATATCATATCATATATAAACTGACAACAAACATATGGGTAAGGAAAAGACACAACATGTCTAATATAAACCAGTCGAACTCTGGTGGCATAGTGCCTAAGGCACTTGACTGCTAACCAGAAGGCTGGCAGTTCAAACCACTCATCGGAAGGAAGTTTGGGCAATTTACTTTTTTAGTGATACCATCTCAGAAACTCAAGGAGGGGGTCGCTATGAGTCAGATCCAACTAGATGACAGTGAGTTTGATTTTATTTTGATTAAAGCTTTATTGATTATTAACCAACTATCTATATGGTGTGGCTTGATATGATAAAGTATATTTCCTCTGTTCCAAAACTATATAACTTCATCATAAAGTAGTTCATATATAGCTTACCTGATCATCTCACAGGATTATGATGAGGACCAATTTTGAAAATGTGAAAATGTTGTTATGAGAAAGAATTGTTTCAAACTGTGCTTATTATTCCATCACTTCACAAGCCAGCTGCTTTATCCACAGGAAGCATTTTCACATGTCAAACAGGTAATTACTTCAACTTTTGTCTTCATTTTCCACAGATTGAAAGATGCTTGTGTCTTCATCTGTATGTATAACAGAAATGTATCAAATAGTTTACATAACTTTATGTTTGTTAAAGAGATGAATGAAAGAATAGTGGGTCTTATTGTGGGAATTAGCAATATCTTGATTTTCTTCAGTGTCACTGAGAAATAACAAAATGAGAAAATATACAATTATTTAAGTTAATGTCTCTTGTTTTCTTGCTTTAAAACAACCATTTCCTATGTTCCCCAAGGCTTAGGCAACCCTAACCTGTGCCAGCATTAATAAGTCCATTTCTAGCTACAAACTGCCCAGAAAAAAAGAGTATAAAACAAACTCACTGGTATCATTGGGTCTGCCAACAATCATTTATTAAAAAATAGAAGATACTAATATATGACTCAACAGTGGTCAGTTTACCCTAGGTCAAATCAATGAGAAACAATGAAGTGAAATAAGTAAGAACTTCAACTCTAGATTCCTACAAGCCAGATTTCAAATGCAAGCTCTTCTGTTGTTTATGTGTCATGAAGCAAGTTATTTAAAAATGCTTGGTTTCCACTTCTGGAAAGTGAGAAAAAAAGAATGCCTATTCATAAAATGAAATAACCTAATACATATGAAAACATTCAATAGGAGACCAAGCTCCCAAAACTGTGACACATTTTTGTTTTCTTTATAAACATTTTTATTTAGTTAATAATCATTCTACTATGAACAGTGTTGATCAGTGCTTTTACAGATAAGCTCATTAACTCATCCTTTTATTACTTTAAAAATGTAAATCGTTTTATTGCATCACAGTATAGATATGATGATTTTTTAAAATTTTGATTTGGGTGAAAATTTGCAGATCAAATTGATTTTGCATTCAACAATTCATAGACATTTTGTTTTGTGACATTCCTTGTAATTCCTACAATATAGCACCCTTTTTCCCACTTTCTCTCCCAATACAACACCTCTCTTCCCATTTGTCTTTGTCTTTCTCTCCTATCCTTTCCTTTTTCTTAGGTTTATTCCTGAGCAAACACTACCTTTTAATTTTATATGGTTGATTGTTGTGAGGAGTGTGTAACTCCCTGGTATTACTGCTTCCCCTATACTTTTGTCTATCTTTAGGCAGAAAGTTGAGCCATGGGAGTGAGCTCTGATGGTGTAGTACCTAAGCCATTTGACCGCTAACCAGGTCAATGGTTCTCACCCACTAGCCACTCTTCAGAAGGAAGATTGGGCAATCTACTTTTGTTGGGATACCACCTTGGAAACCCAAGGAAGGGTCACTATGAGTCGAATCTGACCCGATGGCAGAGAGGTGTTTTTTGTTTGTTTGTTTGTTTTTTAGGGTATCTAAGGGCCACAGTGGTTCAACCAGTCTCCAATCAAATCAGTAGGCCTGGTCAGCTAATTTTTAATGCATTGCCCTTTTGAATAACCTGTGATATACATTGTTGTTGTTGTTATATGCCGTCGAGATGGACCCGACTCATAGCGACCCCTGCTTGGGTTTCCGAGGCAGTATCACTATGGAAGTAGATTGCCCCGTCTTCCTTCAGAGGAGTGGCTGGTGGGTTTGAACCGCAAGCCTTCTGGTTAGCAGCCAAATGCTTTAGGCACTATGCTACCAGAGTTCAAACCCTCATGAATCCACTTATAATTCAAATTGCTTCTTTATACAACAAAAGTATATTAGCTCTATATTAATTTATATTAACAATTATATAATTTTAATCTGTCCACTTCCTCTACACGGGGAGTTCTTAAGGAGATCCCGTGGCATAGTGCCTAAGGCATTTGACTACTCACCAGAAGGTTGGCAGTTCAAACCCACCAGCCACTCTGCGGAAGGTGGAGTTCTTAGATGAATACAACTTTAGAACTAAAATGTCCATTAGATATAAATAAATCAGCCCTTCTTGTTTCAAATAAAATGAATTTCTAAAATAAGCATTAAAATGTTGACAATAGAGAATACAGCATCTTCATGATTTATGATCAAAAGGTTTATGATTTTAAGTCATTCAAAAGATAATTTTCCAGAATTGAGACCTAGAGCAGAAAAAGAAAAAAGAGGGAATTATGAATAAAGTCTTGAGTTTAATTAATAGTAACATTTCAATTTTTTAAAATAGTTTTAATAAATGTACCTATGGTTACATAAGATATTAACATTAGGGGAGCTGGGTGATAAGTTTAAAAGAATTCTCTACACTATACATACAACTTCTCTATAATCTAAACTTACTTAAAATTAAAACCTTATTTAAAAAAAAAAATAATAATAATTGTTCTGTTTCTGCTATCAGAAAGATAGCCATTCCAGATTCATTACTGAATAGCTATGTGTCCTTGAACAAAACTTTAAGCCTCAGTGCTCTCTCCCATAAAATAGGGATGATAACATTTGTTCAAGCTGCCCCTCTCACAAGATTCCAGTTAGATAGTTACCATGAAAGCGATCAGCAAAGCATAAAAGTTTTTTTTAATTCTTTTTTAATTTTTATTACGATTTGGGTGAAAGTTTACAGAGGAAATTCACTAAAACATAAAGTTTTAAAAGTGTGAAACATATTTGTCAGTAATATTTTCAAACTGACTGCACTCTTGAAGTAAACTAGAAAATTTAATCAGCCTGAACATAAACTGTGTTTCTAAAATCAACTTTTTTTTTATTTTAATTTTACTCATTGCTAAAGTTGCAAGTGTAACTGTTTCAATTCGTATAATCATTTTGGGAAACACTTTTGTAAATATTTCCAGACTCAAACATATTTGTATTATTTATGCTAAACCAAAAGCTAAACCAAACTCACTGCCATCAAGTCAATTCTGACTCATAGCGACTCCCTTTGGGTTTCTGAGGTGGTAAATCTTTACAGAAGTAGATTGCCCAGT